TCTCTCTCTCCTTTCCCTTTTTTGCTTATTCTCGTTCTTTAATTTTAAATAAAGCTTCCTTCTTTTTTCCTCCCTTTCTCTCTCTCGTCAATTCTTTGTTTCTTCTTTAATTTTGGTAAATATAGCGAATAGGGGACCCAGCCCCAATGACCTTGACCTTGACAACATATGTCAAGATCAAGGTCACTGGGGCTGGGTCTCCTATTCGCTATATTTACCCTTATATTTTATTTTTGAACACCCTATATATGTAAAAACTTGTGTTTATTTCAGTTTATATGTGTAGTATACGTAGGACTATTTCTGTAAACTAACTTAAATATCCAGTTTTTCATTGTCAGACTATGTATAAATCTTGATTTTTACAAATTTTTGTTTGTTAATAACTTTTTAATAAGCAACGAGCGACGATTAAATTAGAAGAAAAAGTTACTCAGAATTATGTCCTTGATAACATATGTCAAGGTCAAGGTCATTGGGGCTGGGCCCTCTATTCGCTATATTTACCTTAATTTTAAATAAAACGTTTATATTTATGTTGTTTATACGCAATAAACATTGGAATATAAATTTATAAAGTATAAAAAAGATAGTATACATATCTTTCATATCATATTTTATTATAATACAATATAATATACATATATACATAGTATATACATATCTTTTTCTATTCGTCTTTCTTTCTTCCTCTTTTTCCCTTCTTTGTCTTCTTTAACTTTATTTTCTTTAATTTAATTTTTTGTCATATATTAACTGTCAAACTGCTAAACTATCAAACGAAACGAGTGAAGCAAGTCACACGAACAAGTGAAACAAGCGCGCGAATAAGACTATCAATCAGCATCGTGGAAAAAAAGCAACAATACGTTTCCAGACTTTCGAGTATCGACATAACATGCCTTTTTTAGAGAGGGACTAGCATGCAGCGCGCAATTCGCGCGCGCCTGGTATCGACCACCAATCACATACGCGAAAAAGCGGCAACAATACCTGCGATACATCTCGACTCCGAACGCGCACTTCTCGCGTCTACATGACTTTTTTTATATAGGGCTAGCACGCAGCGCGCGCTACG